TTCACAGTTTCGCTTTCGCACAACTAAGAATTCATGCCGACCACCAAATTAGGTCAAATAGAAATCGAAACAACCGACCACCATCAAAGTATCAAACCAACACTTCAAATAATAAAGATTTAAGAGTTATTCAAGATATTACCATCCGTTGCAAGTCGCAACTGAGAAATGGAGAAAGGAAGAGGATTCAAGGAAGAATTCCGAAGGACCGAAGCCAGATGTTTCAGAACTCAGAAGATCAGAAGAAGATATCAAGAAACCTCTATCAGCTCCTCCACGATTCGTCGATTCCACGGCTCCACCTCAAAGCCAGAGCGTGAGAGCGAGGAGAACCGAGAAATGAAACCCTAGAACCCTCTCGACTCTCGTCTCTCGAAGTCTCGCGCGGAATGACGGAATCGCGGCTTTTTAGTTTTTATTAAAACGAGAGTCGCTTAGCGGGTTAATCGTGTCAACCCGCGGGTTGACGGGTTGACGGGTTGACCCGAACCCGACACGAATATATAAACGGGTCAAATCCTTCAACCCAGACCCGACCCGTTTCTTTCACGGGTTGACACGAACCCGGATTTTCCGGGTCGGGTTCGGGTCGGGTTAGCTGGTCGTGTCAGGAATTTACAGCCCTAATTTCCGAAAGTGAGACCCAATTCGATTAATTTTCAATAGTCAAGGGTTTAAATTGGAGTAGTACAAAACTTTGGAGCTAAATTGAGCATTTATTAATAGTTGGGGTAATATTTTGAATTTTTTTCTCCAAAAAGACGCATTGGATAACTAAGGGCAATAAGAATGAATTACTTCAAAATAGAAGACGATGATGTGGTTTGATACCATGCTAACAAATGAATTTGTTCGATAATTGTGGACAGGAAGAATAAATGTCAGAAATAATGCTTTTACATTTACAAATACCGAAAAGGATCAGTTATAGGAGGAAGTTGAATTAGCTCAGCCTTGATGGTTTTTATTTATTAATTTATGTTGTGAACCAGTATCTTCATTTATCATTTATCATTTATATTTGCTTCAGAAAAAAGTAGCAAAAAATTTATGGATCCTAAACAAATTAAATGTAACTTTTGGATTTGAAATTACTTGTCTTGTTTGCTGACGGTTTTTCTCTATGTTTTTCTGGTGAATAAATCAGTGCCTTGATTTATACTTCACAAAAATGAACTTTTGGAATCTTTTTTGAAGTTGCAAAAAAAGTAGTTGCCAATTTTAGGAGTTGAAATAACGGACAGCAGTTGGAAGACAATGAGCAACTCAAAGTTATATTTGATCTAAACCTTAATGGAAATTGTGATAAAGCATGTCTCCAATAGTATTAAATAAGCTTGAAAAAGAAAAAAAATACTGTATTTTGAATTCAGTGTTCTCATTAATCTTAAATGTGGTTTTTATCCCCTCTCTTTAACGTTTCTTCTTTTTGCCCGCAAATTATGCTTAAATTTTCTTCAAGAGTCCCCTTTATTTGTGTGTTTGATGCGATAACATTATCTGCTCATTCAGAAAAATGACCAGGAAAATGGAAGATCTTGTGGATCAAGCAGCTTAAGTATCATTGAAGCAGACAAAACTAGAGTTGAAAGTAAAATCTTTCAACCTTGTCATACCATCAAAGGCTACGTTCAAGTTGGCAAGTCTGACCAGCAAGAAAATGATAATGAGCCTAAGATGAAAATGCTAACTCAAGCTGCCTTTCAGTTGCAGGTGACCAATGATGCAAATACCTATAATCTGGAGAAAACAATTGATTTTCTTATGTATGATTCATATCCAGATGAGATTAGGCGGTTTTATGTATTCTTTTTTCTTATTGAAGTAGGCCATCGTGTTGTTGAAATCAAACTACTTTCTGGTTTAATGACAGTTGACAGATGTAACACAGACAGAGTCTGTGATATATGAAGCTGACACCATACTCAAACTTTCTGGTTTATGCTCAACGCAAGCAAGCCCTCGGTATGGCCAAGCCTGTAAATTTGATTTCAAAAGGCTTTACTAGTTATGTTTAATGATACTCTTTTATGAAGCTTTCATTCTGTTGAATTCTGACCTCATTGAACCACCTCTACCCTTTTTTTTTCCCCCAGTGCTGTGCTGTTTGGATCCCATGAAGATACTGACCAGGATTCCTTGTTTTCTAGAATTCCAAAAGATTTCATTTGTCCTTTGACTGGACTATTACTTACGGAACCTGTGACATTGGAGAGTGGGTATACCTGTGAACTAGCTGCTATCAAGAAGAGATTTGATCAAGGCAACAAAACATGTCCTGTAACGGGAAAATCATTGAAGTATTCAACTATCCCTGAAACAAATGCTGTATTAAAACACATGATCAATGACTGGGTGGCTGAATGCTTCAGAAATTCCCCATCTAACAAAAAGAAACAGGCTTGGAACTCTAAAATTGAATTGGCTTTATCAATCTTCGAGCAGATGACGGTTGGGTTCAGCTCTATAGACAAGAAGGAAAACATCAAGCATCTCATTTCTCTTGGGGGCTTTCACTTTCTCACTCAGACATTTGAACTGGGAAGTTTTGAAGAGAAGTCTCGTGCTGCTGAACTTTTAGTCCAGTGCATTCAGGCTGATGGATGCTGTCGGAACTACCTAGTTATGCATATCAGTAAACCTTCTCTCCTTGAACTCATCCACAGTGGGCAAGTTCATGCAATAACTAATGCTGCTTCACTTCTCATTGAACTAATATGTCTAAACAGGTATGTGGATTATGTTTCACTTCTAACTTTAAATTATTCATTTTAGAATTAAAGTACATATTTCTCCTTCAAGTTTCAGTTTAAGAATGACTTGAGCCCTTTAATTTTAACTTCTCTTCATCAGGTCCCTCGAATTTGATCTTCAGTTGGTCTTCATCTTGTATTAGATCATTACAAATCTGCATTGAATGATTAAATTACCCAAATGGATTTATCATCTGCGTGGGCTCCAAAAATTTGCACCCTGGCCTCTCCACACATTCTTTCTTTGTCGGCGAGGAGAGTTTTAACGAGTTTAGGTTTGGGGGTAAATTTTTTAAAAGGCATATTGGATTTTAGATAAGACACTACTCAGATATTTCACCCTCATTTTGCGAGGACTTTATGATCTAAGTTCTAATTTCCCATAGGCGTAAGCCCCTATGGTTAATTATCCCTTCTGATAATGAGAGAGAACTTTGGATTAAGGCTAGTCGTTAAATAGGCCGCAATAAGGACCTAGCATATAATAACAACAATTTTAGAGTTTGAATTTTGGAGTTCATGTTTTGAAGAATTTAAACTCTTGGTAGGATTTGAATTTGGGTTCATAATGAATTATTTTTAGAGTATATAATCTTTGGGTTGACAATAAATGGCTCAATCGAAACCCCCCCTTTTAAAGGTTTCTTGCATTCTTCCTTTTCAATTGTCGTTGGAGCCAATATTGAATGATTTAAATCTTTATCAGTTGGTTGACTCTTGACATTAGCACACTTGCTCACAATCAAATAGATTATATCATCATTATATTTAGAGACATCTTGAATCAACAAGTGATCATCAGACTCCTTGCCATCATGACATAGCTAGATCAACGAGATCCTCGCCCCTCATGTATTCATTATATGCCTCCATCTAATGGAATGATGGGTATTCTCTGAGATTTCCATCCTACCTCGTCAGGACAGTGAAAAGTAGCTTCATTCATTGCTTGATTCTCGATAGCAAACCTAGTTGCACCACTATTAACTCCAAAATGAAGCCAAATCATATGGCCAACACTAGACCAACTATCGTGGCTAGATAGAGCCGACTTCCAAAATTTTATAAAGAGAAGCCACATCTCCTCCCGTAGTTCTAAGAATCCTGTGACTTCCAATCACTAGGCCTTTTGGTAATCCCTTCTTCTCCATGTATCCCTTTAGATTATTGACTAAGTTTCTACTGGATTCATTCTCTGAAACACTATAAAATCTTTTGAAGCATCTCTCATTAGAGATGGAATTTTCATAGTATTTAGTGTTGTTGACTTAATACTCTACCAATAGTTAATCCTTGATATTTTGCTTTTCTCTCGTTCTCCTGATGCATCTCCACCCCACTCATCTCCTAAGATATATTGATGGGCACCAAGGACATTATTTTCACGCCAACACCATTACTAAATTGATGATTGAGATCTCATGTGTCTCTCAAAGATTCATAAATGACTTTGGAGGAGATATCATAACTATATCCTGAGATGCTTCCTGAGAACCAAGATCCTCATTTGTTACAACAAAATTGTTTAAAGCAAGAGAGCGTTGATGTGGAGCGTCATGTTCATAATAATCATCATCATGCCAAGTCTCTATATTTTATGTAACTAGGCCACATTATATTTTACTTGTGAGATTTATATGTATTGAGTGATGTCATGTACTGTGAGGTGCTATTGAATCATTTTCATGTATTTTGAGCTTTATTTATGCATTTGAGTCACTCCGGGTCATGAATCATGTTGGATCTTGATGTCTTGAAGGGTTATTGGGTTACACCATTCAATTCAATGTATTTCCCTCATTTTTTTCATGCATGATATACTTCTCCCTTTTTCCATAAGTTTTGACTTCTTGTTAAATGCACAACAAAAATCACCACATTTCTTCCTCTTTTTCCCAATTGAATTTCTTCTCTTCTTTCCCTCCTCCTTAAGTGGCTAGCCACAACCTTGGTATACCTTGCATTAAATTGAAATTGATAGTAGAGGGTGTCCTAGAGTCCTATGAATGAGAATTTAAATATTTTTTAATTATATATATATATATATATACTCAATTGAAATGATTAAATATGATTTAATTCTTAAAAATGTTATTTTTTATTTTTTCTTAAAAATATGGCAGCCTCCCGGCACATGTCTCCAAATCTTTAAGTACATTCGATCGGTTTATTATAAATAATTGTATATTTAATTAAATAGAAGGCTGTTTTAGTTACTATCGTGAACTGGAGCAAACAGGAAGAGCAGGCCACACGTGGCGCCGGGTCGAGCTGGTCGCGGAAGCTGGATCGGACGGATTATCTATTCATTACATATTTTTTTTAATTATACAAGAGATTTGTTTCAATTACTTTAGATAGAGACGACAGATTGGAGTTGGTCGTGCACTACACCGGGTCGAGCCAATCGCGGGAGTAGACGCAAGTGTGGCTGAAATTGAGATACTGAGGCGGGAGGAATCACGGGATGGGTGCGGGACAGATGCGGGCAGTGTGCTGTGGGTCGGGCTGGAGGCGGGAGTGGGAGGGTAGATCAAGTCCAACGTGCATCAGAGAGGCTGCGTGCAGGATAGAGTTCGACTACGGGATTTTGAAGCATGTGCGGGTATAAGCTTCATGTTGGTTTGGCATGCGACCCTAGGAGTCTGGCTGCGTGTGGAGACGAAGAACATGGAGTGTTGAATCGTTTGTGGGCATGGGCTTCGTGTCGGATTGGCATGTGGCTCTATGAATTTGGTTGTGTGTGGAGATTGGGAACAAGGGGTTTTCTTCATCTCTCTGGGCTCTTACGTGTCGTTCCTGAGTGCAATTGAGAAAGACAAGAGAGAGAACGGGAAAACAGACGGTTTCGTGCGTGAGAGTCGAATGAATCAGAGAGGCGAGCGGTTTCTACGTGTTTGTAATTGAGAGGAATCGAGCAGTTTTGTTTTTTTTGGTGGAACAGTTGTGTTGCTTGTGAAGATTGTGCGTGAGATGGGGCCCGTGGTTGGTTAGTGGTCAACAGTTTGGTTTCCATATATCTTATTTTCATTTGGATCCTTGTTACAAAACATACTGATGCTTGAAATTAAACAAACTAAATTTGAATTTTTCTATGTCAAAGACCTCCATATATGATTAGAACTCATCCCTTTATGATGTAAATCCAAAATACAGGAAATTCAGGTAAACCATAATATCTCCTAAAATAAAAAATTTAACAAAAAGCTAAAACTACCAAAAACAACTAGTCAATTAGGATTTACGCATAAAAAACAACTAATTATATCGGATTTGAAAATCAAGCATGCTTGCAAACCCTAACATCAAATTATGTAGATAGAAAAAAAATAATGAAAGAATTCACCAAGTTGAGAAGACTAAGGCTTCGTTTGTGACGACTTTCTTACTGCTTCTTAAAGCAGTTTTTCACTACAAAAAATAATTTTTTGTGCTAAAAACTGCTTTAATAAACACTAAAAAATAAACGCATAGAAAAATTGAAATTATTAAACAAAAATTTTTGTGTGTATATATATATATATATTGGTTTCTTAGTCATTGTTCTGTAAGTCCACAAATATAGTAGATCCATTATTTGATTTCAAAGTGAACATATAATAAGCAATTTCTTAAATCAGCATGGATAAGCACAACAGCAAAAACTTCGAACAAATCTAGAAAATTACATTAGTAGCAAATGGAGCTCTCTTGTTATTAAAAATCAGCCCATATTCTACCTAAAACTGCTGTATTTTGCTGTTTTTATGTGATTTCCTTCTATTGATCACTGAATTCTACTCCTAGACGTATCAGACGCACACTCCTTCGGCTTTCCTGCTCGTGTATCTAGCTCCTACGGCGTCAGCTGCTCGTGTAAAGGGTAAAGAAAAAACACTAGCCTTGCTCCGCAAATGAGTGCCACAGAAATGAATAGGGCTCGCCGCTTGCATAATTTTTCTTTAAATGGATATGCATAAACGAAATGAATACGCATAAATTAAAAAGGATATGCATGCCCAATATGTGTATCCTTTTTAATTTTAATATTAATTTAATTGGCACGTTTTTACCCTATTGGGCACGTGTTCGAGCCATATTGGGTGCGTATCTGTGTCCGATACGTGTCGGATACAACATTCCTTCATTAATAGGTGTATCGGTGCATCATAGATAATGACCAATTTATGACACTTAAAGTAGTTCTGGCAAAGTTTTAGAATTGAATTAAGAAATAGCAAACTTCCTTCTAATGTCTTTTATTGTGTGTTACTAACTTTATATGTAATTGCTGCATTAGATTGGATTTAATTCTTTTGATGAAAAAATTATCTAATGGTATATATAACAACTTTTTTTGAGATAATTTTAGCATTTGTTCAAAGTCTAATACAAGTCTGAAAACATGCTCAAGTAATAGAATGCATTGTGGTGTCATCTCTCTTGATATTAGGTCTCAAAGCATACCTAAACCTAAGCAGTGTGATTTTTGGATCCTTAATGATTTAAACACAACAATAATTCTTTAAATTTGTTCATTTACACGGTCACAATTTTTATACCTTATTTTAAAGTTTTAAACTTTTTTATCAATCAGTTGATCACAATATGAAGAGACAAGTATTTCTATTTTAAATTTTTCTTTCATTTTAGCCCAACTAGTATGAGGTTTCGTTCTGATTTTTTTTATTTGTTTATCCATATTAATTCAATACATTTTAGCTTGCTTAGTCAATTTTAATCTTGCAAATCCCACTTGTCACTCACCATACATTATTTGCGATTCAAAGAAATTACACATGTTTATTACAAATTTATAAAGAATTTTAGAACCATCTTTCCATCAAAGTAGATGCTCCAATTTTAACTTTTTTTGTTTTGTCCCCATTTACGTCAAAATTTTGATGATTATGATTTCCACAACTTTTTTGTCATACACACTATAATATTTACCTTGATTATTTTCTGAGAATGAGTTTCTTATCTCCTACATGTGTTAACATTCAAGTGAATGGATTCATCATTATGATTGGATTCTACTATAGGTTCACATGCTTGAATTTGATTGATGTCCTCACTCATTTTATTTTACTTGGTAATAGTTCAGCCTAATATTTTGTAAAGCGGTCAAAATCTCATTTGTTAAATAATATGTTGTGACTCTAATATCCAGATTTGAACATGTAATGATTGTAAACCATCAGATTTCTATCAAATTTGAAAGGATCTTATGAAATTATGGCGAGGGTATTTTGATCATTTAATCAGTTAGGAATGGTTCGGTAATAGTTTACTTAATGGCGAGGATTCTTGAAGAAACTGTGATCAAGTTTGACTCAATGGTGAAAAGTGGAAACCTTGTGAACCGAATCACTTCAACTTCAAAACCTGAATCATCTTGGTATAGTTATTTTAACATTAGATGAAGATATCTGTTTACTGAATAGATTTTTTTTTTTTTTTTACTTTCCTAAATGGCACAGATATAATGGTCTCATTCGTTAAAATGATTTGCATGAACCTGAAAAAGCTAACAAGAGAACTTGTGGAATGGGACATAAAATTGCCTGTGTCAGTTTCTACGAACAGTTATGCGCTTTTTATCATCCTTCTTTTTTTGTGACATTTTTGCCAGATAATTTCCTTTTCGTCCTCTTGAATAGTTGGTTCTTCTTTGTCCTTTTATGTTTTTTGAAATTTTAAGTTTCTTAAATATAGCTCGTTTTTTTGACTCTATTGCTCAATTCCTTCCTTCCTGTCTACCAATAGAAGGATGGATATTACATCTTTCCTAAGTGGGTTGAAAACAGAAGCTTCGGATACCATAATGAGTGATCTTCTACTATGCCTTAAGAGCTCTCTGCCTGAAGAAAGAGTCCTCGTTGCAGTTCTTCTTTTACACCTTGATCTTATAGTAAGCTTTCTTCACTTGATTCTTATGTTATACTCCATATATTGTGTACCTCTCAAGTTCACTCTTCACTAAAAACATATCTTTTTTTTTTTTTAAATAAGGATCTCTGGAAATTCAACTATGGTTTTGAATTTACATGAATACAGATAATTTGGAAAAGGCAGAAAAGGGATCTTATCCTATTATAAAATTTTCAACAATTATAGTTTTTACTATATTGTCGTAAGTGTACGTTTTCACCTATAATTGGAGTGAGATGCTGCATCGTTATTGAGCTGTAATTCTTTCTTAAATATCAATGGGTTAGTTTTTCTTCATTTTCCTCCTGTGTGATGCATGCTGTAGTAGCTATGAAAGATACATGCTCCTAGTTTTTCCTTGTCCATGTCTGATCCTTTTAGTAGCAGCACTTAAGACTCATTCTTTGCTTAGAATTTAAGGTTCTTTATTTTTATTGACATATGACTTCATGTACGCGCTTGATTGATTTTAAAGCTACGCCTAAGGATTATGATAGGAAATACTTGAGTTCGCAAGTAACCCTAAGGGAAATACTTGAGTTCACAAGCAAACCTAATAGTAATTGGTGAAAAACAGCGAGAAAACTACTGATTTCAGAGAGAAATCAGCACTACGATGCAGAATTTTCAGGAGATTGGAGAGAAAAACCAAGCAAAGTTCTTCTATTCAATCCATGAACAAGAAAAATAATAAATGATACAAGTTTCTTCAGTTCGAGAGGAAGAAACAACTCTTCAAATTTCTAGTCAAGCCTAGAGCCCAAAGGAACAAACCCTAGTTCTCAAATTTGATTTCAAACTCAAGATGAAACCCTAATTCTAGCATTAGCAACTAATTAAAGCCAAAGGAGAAATACAAAATCTCTAAACAACCTCTGATTCAAATATTTCCATCCAAAACAATTATTAATCAAGGTGTGGGCCCCAATGAATGACACCATTTCGAATCTACCCTTTAGCATGCTTTGCTTTTGTTTTCCTGCAGTTCTTGGAGACCTCTTAGTGAGATGTCGATTGAAATCAATTTTATTTTATATTCTAACTCGCTTATTCTTTCTAACACTAATGCTTAATATCCTTATGACTAGACAAATTCTAAGTTTAATATCCTTATGACTAGACAATTTCTAAGTTTTATAGTTGCCATTAGTATCACAAGATTCACAACTAACAACTTTTATTCATTGCATATGCAACTGCTTTATATATGTATATATATGCATATATATTTATTTATGTTGACCGAATTAAAATAAAAAAGGGGGTGGGGGCACGGTAATTGATTAATTCAATCTATAAAAGATAGAGAATAAAAAAAAAAAGGAGAAACTCATGCTTTCGTTCTGTTTGGTTTGTTTGATTTGTCTCTTTTAAACCGAGCCTGTCAAACATGTTCCCTGTTCTCTCCCTATGTTTAGATCGCACTCTAGTCCACATAATCCCCTTCTGCGACACCTTTGTTCTGAACCGAACCTGACTCTCGTATGCCTCTGTTAGTCTGATCGCGTCCACACCCGCGCCTCCTTCCAAATCCCCGCATAGCTCTGCACGTTTTTGCCTCCCACATGACCGACCCCCTCTACTTACTTCGCTCGTCCAATGCCCAATCAATCACGCAACAACTCTATCCACTCCGATCTCTTCCGCACGTCGACACCCTTTTCTAAACCGGCCAACCTTCTACATGTTGTTCGACCTCCCGCATATAGCCACTCCGCGACTCCACTCCTCATGTGAACTACTCCCGATCCTTGCCTCTGCCTGTTTGTTCCGCATGATCTATATTCCAATTCAAACATACACCAATCTGTGAGTACCTGTCTACTTCTAATCTCACGCTCATGTATGATTATATGCCTAAAAATAGTATGATTATGTGCCTACCTCTGTGCAGAAGTGTGACCAATAATTATAAATTCTTGTGGGCTCCAAAAATTCGGCCCTAGCCTCTCCCGCATGCTTTTCTTCGGGGGAGTTTTAACGGATTAAGTTCCAGGGTAAATTTTGGGAAGACAGATGGGTTTGTAGATAAGACACTACCCAGAGATTTCGCCCTCACTTTGCGAGGACTTTATGATCTGAGTTCTAGTTTCCTATAGGCGCAAGCCCCTATAGTTAATTACCCCTCCCAAGCATGAGAGAGAACTTTCGATTAAGGCTAGTCGTCAGTGAATACATCGTATCTTTAGATACGCGGTATCCGACATATAGTAGCAGCATGGGCATGTGTATTTTGGAAAATTTGATGATTGAATATTTAAAATAGAAAGTTTGTCACCTTGCACTTAAAGTGGATGGTGGGGGAATGGATGATGGATCTGATCAAGATCCCATGGTTCCCCCATGGTTCCGTCGTCCCGGACCATCGTGGTCCCTGGTCTACTTAGTTAGAGGAGGTAGTCGACCCAACCTGACAGAAGGATCCTTGTCGACAGCCATGGGTTACTTCGTCTAAGGGTACCTTGTAAATCTGGCTTGAATGTTTTTCTAAGGGGACAAATTTGAATCTACCTTAGCTAACAAAGGGCTTTGTGCCCTATCGATTATACCCAATCGATTCATATCTCAAGGATTTGATGCCACTAAGGAACGTATTGGCTATAGTCATAACCGCTATCTCGTGGTGCCATTTGGCGGCAAAACCACTCGGTTCAGATGGCCCCGGGTCATAACTGTTTATCCTGCGATGTCATTTAGCGGCAAAACCACCAGTCAGAGGACACATACCATGTCCTTATTGGCAGAAGATTATTTTAGAATGAATGCTAGTGATATTTTTGACTAGACATTAGTCATATGTGAGTTGAAGTAAATTTCAATTTATACACCCCGACAAACTGTCACGGAGGGTGGATGAATTTTCCTTTAAGAGATTTGATGAATTATTTCAATTTTAAATATCTTTAGATTTTTTTTTTTGATTTTGAAAATTCACGGGTATTCGGGTGGAACTTTGGTATTTTGGAATTAATCCTCCGATTGAGCTCTGCATTCAACACGGCCATCATCAGGGTGACTGGGGTCAGTTCCATTTGTGGATTGAACTTTGTCAACTATGTCAAGCTGTTGAAAGAGGATCGGATTTCGTAGGCTTTATACATTCATCGATGAATTTTCTTTTTTAGAGGCCTTGAAGGCCTTATTTGAATGTATGAAACAGATATTTCGGTCGATATCATTATCGTATCTGCTTGATAATTCAAGCCATGTTGGCTCCTATCTACCCTCATAGAATGATCGGGCTCGAACTACGTTCATTTATGGACCCACGCAACATCCCTAGACGTCACGTGTGTACCAATAACACACTCTCCGGGGGCCCATGTGGGTGTATATTACACATGTGGAGTGGATTAGGTTGCAGGAAGCTTATGGGTGCACGTGTGGAGGGGAAAGTGGTCGTGTGAAGCCGGTTGCAATGTGCACGGGTGAAGGTGGAAGTGTTAACTTGTAAACGACTGGACGACGGCTCTCGGCTAGAGAGTCGTGCGGTTGTGTGAGAAGGGAGTAGGGAGAGTGGGTCCTGGTGCAAATCCAAAGGTGGGGAAAGAGGGGGCTGGCGAGTTTGCTGAGGAGGAAGTTTTTGTTGCTCAGTTTTGTGAGGTCTAACATATTGGGTGCAAGAAGTTTGTGGGGAGGGCTGAGGGGAGATGGGGGTTGGCTACATGTGAAAATAGAAGTGTAGAGGGTGGAGTTAGGTCACATGTATGGGAGAAGGCAAACATAAGAGTTCATGAATGACCCTTATTTTTATTTTGCTCGTTGCAAGTCGAAGGACAAGATGGATGGGATAGCGGGGCTAGGAACAAAATTTAGCAGACAATTTGGTTAGGGATAAAGGCATGGATAATATAGAATATGTTTTTATTATTAATTATTTCTTTATTTGATTTTGATTTTCTTATTTAACTCAATAAATTTTAAAAGAAATAATAATAATAATAATAATAATAATAATAAATTAAATAGGGGTGTGTTTCTATCTTCACTGTTGACCTGTATACGGCAGCCAAAATCAAATAAAAAAAAATTCGTACCTGTTCAGCGTCGACTCGCACGACTGCGGAAATCTCGTTCGAATCATCGCATCGTGCTCCGTATGTCTTCGCACGACGACGTCTCGTCATGCACGATCGTCTCGACACTAAAATGAGACCGAGCCTCTCATTCCGCTCTCTTGCAATCGCTCTCTCTCTCTCTCTCTCTCTCTCTCTCTCTCTCGCTTTCCGATTTCTCTCCCGATCCCGCTCTCTCTGGCTCTATCTCGTTCTCTCGACTACTCCCTCGACGACGTTTCCTTCTGGGAGGATCGGAAGTTACGACATTCAAATAGGAAGAAACGAGGGAGTTCGCCGGCTGTGAAGATAACTTTCTACCTTTCAGACGCTACTTCAGCTCCGTTCGTGGCCGCTCGGCCTAGCTCCTTCAACGACTTCCATTTCCAGTTGGATCGGAAGTTACGACCATTTCGATCGGAAGCAACAATCGAGAGCTCGCTTGCTTGAAGGTTCGGAAGTTACGACAATTTGATCGCAAGCAGCGACGAGAGTCGTCCGTAGTGAAGGAAACTTTCTCCCCTTTCATTGCTTTTTCGTCTCCTTCATCACCGATCGACTTTGCTCCCTCGACGTTATTCCCCTGCAGTCGGATCGGAAGCCGCGACATTTTGATCGGAGGAACGACGGGAAGCTCGCTTGCAGTGAAGTAACTTTCTCCCGTTTGCACGCTCGATCGACGCCGTCCCCTTTCCGTTGGACCAGAAATTTCAACATTTTGATCGGAGAAACAACAGGAGCTCGCCCGGCGTGAAGGTAGCTGTCTCCCTCCCGTGTGCTTGACCGGCCAAATCCCGTAACTTCGCCGAATAGAGAGGTAGAGGGAGAGAGTTGTTTAGTTTTTAATTATAATTATTTTAATTAATTTTGGTTAATTACTGTTATTATTTTTAATTAATTATATTTAGTTCTCATTAAATTATTATAATTAATTTAATTAATTATAATTAATTATAATTAGAATTAACTTAATTAATTATAATTAATTAATATTAATTATAATTAATTCAAAAAAGGAGGAAGACCTCCTTTGCCTCGGTTTTCGTGCCCTACACCGCCGTCGGTCCTCCAAGGTATAAATTTCTAACTTAAATCCTGCCCTCCACATGCTTGACGAGCCGGTGGACCCCCTATACGCGCTCTTGTAGCACGGTGGCAGGGAATCCGGTGCAGCAGGTACGACGAGGCGGGTAAGCCCTATACACGCTCTTGTAGCGTAGTGGGGATGGTCCTCGACACCGACACCGCCGACGATAGTTACGCAAAGGTATGATGTTCCAAATCCCATTTTCGACGTTTGCAGCAGACTGGGGAACCACCTATACGCGCTCTTGTAGCACAGTAGGAGGGAGCCCGGTGCGACGCATACGACGAGGTGGGTAAGCCCTATACACGCTCTTGTAGCGTGGTGGGGAGTCACTGCTGTTCTGGTACGGGTACTGTTGAAGGCCCTATACACGCTATTGTAGCGTGGTGGGATGAAATTTTGTACGGCCGCGGTGTCCAAGGACACCTACCATACACGCTCTAGTAGCGTGGTGGGAAGGCCTAGCTCCCCTATTTTCCCCAAAACGGGGGATATGCCGGGGTGTTGCCGAAATTTTCAGTGAAATATACAAAGACTTGAACAATTTGAAGACCCTTCTTGAGCAACAATACAAAAGACCTGCACTTGGACAGAAGTGCACAGAACTTGAACTAAATGTGCAGAGGACTTGTACAATGAACAGTGGACTAAAACTTTAAGTGACTTCTTAAGATCAAAACCAAATGAGATAAAATCAAACTGAAATCAAAATCAAGTCAATACGAACATACATTTGCACTTGCAAAGATTCCATAAGACTTTGAACAAGCACTTGAACTTGTTCTTGGAACTCGAACTGTGCAACATCAGAGGACCCAAACATAGAACTCATGCTCAAGTGAATTCTAACATGAACTAAATGCAAGATAACTCAAGCTTGAACAAACTATGAACAATCAATCTGAACACGTGCTTTGAGCTCGTGTTTGAACTCGGGCTATACGACATCAAGTGGGGACTTATAAACTTGATGAATTCAAGTCTGAATGAAACTGAACTTGGACTCAGACACATATAGAGTACAAAACTTTGGTCACACACGAGGAAACTCAAACCACAAGACCTCAATGCATGCAAATAAAGAATGTAGTGGACTTTTACAACAGTCTCTACGAGATCGGGTGCATTGTACCTGCAAGAATGAAATGCATGGGCGTCCCCCTACATGCACTATTGAAACCTCCAACACTAGCAACAATGCCTGTTGATTGAGATGACAATACTTGAGACCAACAATCAAAGATTTGTCCTCTACAAACAAGAATAATCTACAAACCACCTGAGATTGGTGAAAGGTGGGTGAGATGCAAGAGCAATGACTCTCCTATGAATACTTCTAGGAATTCGTAGCGGACGCAACGGGTCCTTGTAAATGAATACAACCAGCTTGTGGATAACAACAGTGGGTACCTCGTAGGCACAACGAACCACTGTGGACACAAGTACAAATATCATTAACAACATTGGTAATCAAGATTTTTCAAATATGTCGGGTACAAGGGCAGCCCGGTGTATGAAAGAGGACCGTCCCCTGTTAACAAGTACAATTAGCAAAACCCACCTGAGATTGGTGAAAGGTAGGTGTGATACAAGAACAATGGGTCTTCTACAAATACCTTCAGGAGGTCGTAGGGGATACGACGGTCCCTACAAATGAGTACAAACCACTTATGGATAACAATAGTGTGTATATCGTAGGTACAACGAATCACTGTGGACACAAGTACAAGTACCACCCGCGATAAGGGTGATTGAGACACTGCTAGTATGTCGAGTATAAGGGCAATCCGACGTACGAAAAAGAACACCCCCTGGCAAAAGAGAAGAAATATTTGAACAAATTAGAATCAAACTTCCTGGTGTTCCAAAGTCTCTTCTTAGTTCTATACTTAAGAAGAAAACGGTTCTGGTTCCCGCAAACATCGGAAATAATAGATCCATTACACTGATGATCTTAAAAAGAGTTCTCTACAAAGCAACAAACTTCAAAATCCAGAAAGTCCCTCCCCGTGAATGAGAAAAGGGGTGACAATATCAAGATGAGGAGATACCTCGTAACATCAAGACGCAACGCCACCGGATCCGCAATACTCGTGCTAGCGGACATAAGGCGTGTATAAGCCCTCAAATGAAAAGTTGTGCGCACTCAAATGGTTGTTACCTGCACAACTACAAAATATTTCAAAGTACCCCCACACAAGTGCACCGTAGTTTGTATACACATAGGTACACAAGGGGTAAATTCAATCGTAACCCGCTTGGGCCCCGACGAGCGTGTTATTGGTACACACGTGACGTTTAGGGATGCTGCGCGGGTTGATAAGTGAATTCAGGTTCGAACCTGATCCTTTTATATAGATCAATAGGAGTCGACAGGGTTCGAACCATCAAACAAATACATGGTTGTGGGAATCGATGTATTTGTTTCAATACATTCATATTAGGCCTTCAAGGCCTACAATCAAAAGAATTCACTAAACAAAGGCATGAAGCCTACGAAATTTGATCCTCCTAAGTAAGATAAATAGGAGTAGACAGGGTTCGAGATATCAGATAAATATGCGATCACGAAAGTTGACCAGAATATTTATTTTGTACATTCATATTCGGCCTTCAACAAAGAAAATTCATGAACAAAGGCAAAAACCTACGAGGAACCCGATCCTGGATCAACATCCCGATCGAGTTGACAGGGTTCAATCAACTAAAGTGGAAATGACCCCAAACACCCCGATGATGGCCGTGTTGAACGATGATCTCAACCGGAGGGGTTCACAAAATATTTCAAAATGCCCTCAAATCAAATTTCTACAAAATTCAAATATTTTTTAAGTGACCTTGAGGTCACCCCGATGATGGCCGCATTGATTGAAGATCTCAACCGGAGGGGTTCACAAATATTTTCAAATACCTCCAAAAAGTTCCACCCAAAATTCCAGAAAAATTCAAAATCAATCCCAAAATCCCAAATATTTAAAATTGAAATCTAACCATTCAAGCACTTAAAGCAAAATCCATCCACCCTCCGCAACAGTTTGCCGGGGTGGACAAATCAAAATTTACTTCAGCTCACAAAGAGCCAAATGTCTAGTCGAAAATATCACTAGGATCCATTCTCAAATCAATCTCCTTCCAATAAGGACGTTGTACGTGTCCTCTGACCGGCGGTCTGCCGCCAAATGGCACCGCAGGATAAACAGTTATGACCCGGGGCCCTCTGAACCGAGTGGTTTTGCCGCCAAATGGCACCACGAAATACCGGTTATGGCCAGAGCCAATACGTTCCTTATTGGCATCAAATCCTTCGGAAACGAATCAATAGGATATGATCGATATGGCACAAAGCCCTCTGTCAGCTAAGGTGGATTCAAATTTGTCCCCTTAGACAAACATTCAACCCAGGTCTACAAGGTCCCCTTGGACGAAGCAACCCATGGCTGCCGACAAGGATCCTAACTCCCTCGCCTAAGTAAATGCAATCAGTATGCGCGGCAAGGAGGCCGGGGCCGAATTTTCGGAGCCCACATTCACATAATTTTTCATCGATCATGCGTCTCGAAGTGTGTATCGTCGCCTTGTGCGGACAAATTTTGCCTTTTCACTTGACAACCCATATAATATGGGTGTCATTTTCAGGTAATTTTGATGTCACAGATGCAATGACGAAGTTTGTTTCATGAACAAACGTCATTTGGGCTACTTCGCCAAACATCATGACGTAGTCTGACATTTTCGACTGCATGCGCTCAATTTGACTGCGATAAGTCATCTTTGGGTAATGTTAATGTTCTGAATATAACTGTGTAGTCCGTTTCACAAACAATTGACGTCCGACGATTTTACACAGCATCATGCCCATAGATTGTTGTTTTATGGTCACTCGATTGAGTTGCACATAAATAGATTTTCTTTGGTAAATTCAATGTCCTAAAAACATTATCGCAATCCATTTTACGGGTGGATAACATTTGAGTGATTTTGATCGCGATTGAGATGTCAGTTTGTCATCTTTCTCACTTCTTACTCGTCTTACTCACTCGAATTAGTTGCGGCACATATACAGAGGTCAACAAGGTGATATTCATATCTACTATATTTCTTAATTCATTGCATCATTATGTATCTTAGGGCCAGCTTGTTTCAATAAAAGTATTTGGAAATTGATAGGAGTTGAGTTTCATTAATCTCAGTTTGTTCTGAAGAAAATTATTTCTTATAAGCTCAATTATGGTGTTCATTAAGCCAACAATGAGTTTCATTTTTTACCCACAACAGCATTAATTTTATATTAGTTTATTGTTGCTATAAGTAAAAGTAATAGTCTAACTCATCACTCTGTTAATGTTTTTGCCATTCTATTATTATTTAATGTAAAAAATAAAACTGAAAGTGACTTAGGCCTTAAAATTGAAACTTCTTGCATTTGTGAAGGTGAAAATTGGAACTCACATTCATTCATTTTCTACCAAACAAATGCTTTATCTTACTTAAAAGATGTGAGTTCCACCGACCTTCAACCACTTACCTCAAAACAAAAGAGCCCTCACTGCCCGTTCCTGTAATAGACATTGCTTATTTGTCTTGTTTGCATTGTCTGAACAAACATCTGGTTGAAGACATTGGATTAAGCGCGCTTATGAGACCTGTGGTAGTTTCCAAGTTTCTTAAATCTAATTAAAGGTATCATTAATGGACAAGGAACAGCTTTTTTTTCCTGTAGACTATTATCAAAAGTGAATAATCTTTTCTTAAAACCTTCCTCATATAAAACCTGTATTGTCTGAATACTCAGTGTGGTCAAATTTCAGGAAGACTCCCAGGTGTATAGTGTTTTCAGAAGGGAAGCTGTAAAGTGCGTTATAACTACACTTGAGTGCTGTCTGTCCAATAAGAAGTTTATAGCAAATTGCCGAACGGCTCTTCTCATTCTGGGAGGCATTTTCTCTGTTTCTGGAGAGATTTTGACAGAAATTTGGTTGTTGAAACAAGCTGGATTGAATGATGAGGATGATGAAACAATCTCAGAGGTACTTTCTGCTCTATTTGGTTTAGTTTTTTCTTATGTGGTGATTTAGTTTTTTTGACACATCAAGATTCATGAATACGGCTGATATCTATTTAACATACCAGACTTGGATTAAAACGATACTTAATTAGCTAGTATTTGTGCAAACTCTGATGCCCAAACTTAACAGGATAATTTCAAATCCTGTAATGATATTATGGATCTTTAAGGACTGATACAAACTAAATCATTCTTGGATGTGCTGGGTAGAACCGCTTTTCCTTAGTAATTTTTCTTAAATGACTTTCATCTGTTAATGTTGCGAACTACTTTATGCCAAGTTGAAAATGGAGTTTTGTTGAACTCAGGAAGAAGAAAGGAGAAGAGAAGAATGGCTGAAGAGCATGGTTTCAATTTTCATTGGTTACAAAAAGAAGTCGTTCCTGGAGACTCTTTCCAACTGCTGGAAGTTGGGGAGCCCAGATCTTGCGAGGATATGCTTAGTAACAACAGCATGGATAAGCCATGCACTTCCTTCTCTATTTGTTCCCGAATTACAGTTTTCTTCTATGGCTCTTCTTCTGAGGCTGAAAGAAAGCTTGACTAGTGATATGGATATTCAACAGAGGGTACTTGCTTGTTTATGTCTGCTCAATTTCAGCAAGATTTCAGGTAAGCATATAAACTAAATAGAAATCCTATTTTTCACTTGGTAGATGAAGGCCTCAAACATGAAATTTGTATGTGAAATCGTACTTCAGACATTTAATATCTTTCATGCAGCATGAGCTTGTTCCATTGAAGTACCGAAGTATTTTCTTCTGTTGTAACCCATGATCTTTCTGATCATAAAGGAAGTAAAATCACCATTCTGCTGCTAGGTTATATGTTTCCAACTAGGAAAACCGCTATTTTTCCTTTGCATTCCCCCACCAGGTTAGTAGGATCATTCATGCATGCTCTTAGCTAGAAAAGAAAGCATACTTAATAAATCAGGACTTTTCCCTGTAAGTGCTTTACTCTAATAGGGCTTACCTGCTTAACCGTATGCATCGCACCGAGTTTCCTCCTACCGTGCTATGAGAGCGTGTATAGGGGGTTTTCCAGCTCGACACAAATGCCAAATGCGGGATTTTGAGTTAGGAATTTTTATATATGTACGAGGACCGGTGTCGGCGATAAAAAATGCACAAAATCCATTTTTCTTCCTTTTCTCTTTTTTTTTTTTCCTTTTTTTATTTTTTGTCTACTTTTTTTTCTTCTCTTTTTCTTTTTTTTTTTTCCTTATTATATATAATAATAATACTAAGTATAATAGTAGTAAATGTACTAATAATTAGCAATAATTAATAACTATACCAAAAAAAAAAAAAAACTTAACTACCTA